CCCCTTGGACCCTCCCCCATGGACTCTCCCCCATGGGCTCTCCCCCATGGACCCTCCCCCATGGACCCTTCCCCTTGGACCCTCCCCCATGGACTCTCCCCCATGGGCTCTCCCCCATGGACCCTCCCCCATGGACTCTCCCCCTTGGACCCTCCCCCATGGACCCTCCCCCATGGGCTCTCCCCCATGGACCCTCCCCCATGGAAATTTGATAAAGTTTGCAAGTACCTAGAAGGTTTAAGGTAAATATGTCCCGGTATATATATTGTAACGGCCATACTTATTATGATGCCGTATAGATTTCTAACAAACTTAAGACTGATATGATTTAATGAATCACACTTACCAGATAGACAGACGAGGCTTTTGTCCGTGACGGGAGTTTCACACAGGTTCAACACTTGTAATTTTTGTAGGTATTCAGATATCATTTGTAGCCCTGTGTCACCAAACTGTGTGTAAAGCAAACAGTTATAATTAAATATAGCCATGTGTCACCAAAATAAATAAATATAGCCCTGTGTCACTAAACTGTGTGTTACTAAAAGCAAGAAGTTACAAATATATACAACTTCATCACATATCAACATCTCACCAATATATATTTTGTGAAAAGTTAAATTTACAGTTACATGTATTTTGAACAAACCATTTGAATCACCTGAAGTGAACCTTGTTATTGATCACTGAAAATTGAAGGATAACTTAACTTGTTCACCCCTATATATTTGCACTGAACTTGCCCAGTCATTGATATGGTAAGGTTCAAATGGGACTTTAGGGGTTAATAGGTTAAGACTAAAGGTTCGCTCAAGATTGAAGGAAAATAAACTTTCAGGTAATTTCAGTATGCCCTCTGCTTAATGAAACAAAATATTGACTTTCTCTAAAAGCCAGTGGCTTAAAATATAATGTTACACACTTTTAATATCATGTTTTCATAAAATACCATTTTAATCTAAATACATATTGTACATAATTTAGTTGTATATCGCTTGATGTTTATATTGTGTTATTTCGACTATTGCTCAACATATTACGTAGAAAGAAGCTTTAACTCATTCACCCCTGAAGATACATTTGAACTCGTCCAATTCAAGAATTTGGACAGTCCATTATGAAATTTCAGGGGTGAATGAGTTAAAGCAGGTAGACCTTCATTATAATAACAGAAGAAAGCTAGAGCAATGAGACATATATAAAACTCAGGGCCATAACAAAAAAAGTCCCGAAATTTATTTCATTTTTCTAAGAGAATGCTCCGAGGACCAAAGTGCCATACAGCAAAAAGGAGGCAACTGATATCGTACCTGCGTAGACCACAAGTTGAGGTAACGTAACGACGGTAACTTGATCAGATCACTAGCACAGGCACTGGTGACGTGCGTGAACGCCAGACTGAGGCACTCGAGGTTCCCAAACGACCCAGAACTCAGCATCTTGGCTAGGTCTGCGTCGGTGGACTTTGACGGCAGTGTGAGCTTCTTAGGGCCACCTTTTTGTTGCTGAAGTAAATATTCAAAAACTTTTTAAAGAAAACTTGTGACATAATAACATTCTTCACACTAAGTCATCCCAGGAACACAGACAAAATAACACTCTTCTCATAAAGTTGTCACAGGAACACAAGACAAAATAACACTCTTCTCATAAAGTGGTCACAGGAACACAGACAAAATAACACTCTTCTCAAGTTGTCATAGGAACACAGACAAAATAACACTCTTCTCATAAAGTGGTCACAGGAACACAGACAAAATAACACTCCTCTCATAAAGTTGTCACAGGAACACAGACAAAATAACACTCTTCTCATAAAGTTGTCCCAGGAACACAGAAATAAATGTAACAGAAATTGCATTTGAGGCAAGTTGTAATGATTAACGTAAACATCGGTATATTGGAAAACACTCATACGGTAAATTATTCTGTGAAATAAGATAAAAAAATAAACATTTTTTTTAGTAAAATGTTACAGTGACTGGTGAATTGTATATAGTGGTAGCTATATATACAGATGATGTATATAGTGGTAGCTATATATACAGATTATGTATATAGTGGTAGCTATATGTACAGATGATAGAAATTGCATTTGAGGCAAGTTGTAATGATTAACGTAAACATCGGTATATTGGAAAACACTCATACTGTAAATCATTCTGTGAAATAAGATAAAAAAATAAACATTTTTTTTAGTAAAATGTTACATTGACTGGTGAATTGTATATAGTGGTAGCTATATATCCAGATGATGTATATAGCGGTAGCTATATATACAGATGATGTATATAGTGGGAGCTATATATAAAGATGATGTATATAGTGGTAGCTATATATACAGTGACTGGTGAATTGTACATAGTGGTAGCTATATATACAGATGATGTATATAGTGGTAGCTGTATATACAGATGATGTATATAGTGGTAGCTATATGTACAGATGATTTATATAGTGGTAGCTATATATACAGATTATGTATATAGTGGTAGCTATATGTACAGATGATGGAACACAGACAAAATAACACTCTTCTCATAAAGTTGTCCCAGGAACACAGACAAAATAACACTCTTCTCATAAAGTTGTCCCAGGAACACAGAAATAAATGTAACAGAAATTGCATTTGAGGCAAGTTGTAATGAATAACGTAAACATCGGTATATTGGAAAACACTCATACTGTAAATTATTCTGTGAAATAAGATAAAAAAATAAACATTTTTTTTAGTAAAATGTTACATTGACTGGTGAATTGTATATAGTGGTAGCTATATATCCAGATGATGTATATAGCGGTAGCTATATATACAGATGATGTATATAGCGGTAGCGATATATACAAATGTATGTCGCTGTAGCTATATATACAGATGATGTATATAGTGGTACCTATATATACAGATGATGTATATAGTGGTAGCTATATGTACAGATGATGGAACACAGACAAAATAACACTCTTCTCATAAAGTTGTCCCAGGAACACAGACAAAATAACACTCTTCTCATAAAGTTGTCCCAGGAACACAGAAATAAATGTAACAGAAATTGCATTTGAGGCAAGTTGTAATGAATAACGTAAACATCGGTATATTGGAAAACACTCATACGGTAAATCATTCTGTGAAATAAGATAAAAAAATAAACATTTTTTTCAGTAAAATGTTACAGTGACTGGTGAATTGTATATAGTGGTAGCTATATATACAGATGATGTATAGTGGTAGCTATATATACAGATGATGTATATAGCGGTAGCTATATATACAGATGATGTATATAGTGGTTGCTATACAGTGACTGGTGAATTGTATATAGTGGTAGCTATATATCCAGATGATGTATATAGCGGTAGCTATATATACAGATGATGTATATAGCGGTAGCTATATATACAGATGATGTATATAGCGGTAGCTATATATACAGATGATGTATATAGCGGTAGCGATATATACAAATGTATGTCGCTGTAGCTATATATACAGATGATGTATATAGTGGTACCTATATATACAGATGATGTATATAGTGGTAGCTATATGTACAGATGATGCATAAAGTGGTAGCTATATATTCAGATGATGTATATAGGGGTAGCTATATATACAGATGATGTATATAGTGGGAGCTATATATAAAGATGATGTATATAGTGGTAGCTATATATACAGATTATGTATATAGTGGTAGCTATATGTACAGATGATGTATATAGTGGTAGCTATATATACAGATTATGTATATAGTGGTAGCTATATGTACAGATGATGCATAAAGTGGTAGCTATATATTCAGATGATGTATATAGGGGTAGCTATATATACATATGATGTATATAGTGGTAGCTATATATACAGATGATGTATATAGTGGTTGCTATACAGTGACTGGTGAATTGTATATAGTGGTAACTATATACAGATGATGAACAGTTTTTCAAGCAGTGTTTTCAATTGGTTTGCTCTAGACTCACACATAGATAATCTGAAAGTATTGTACTTCAATATATTTCCCACCAAATGAATACGCCTTCCAGAGAATGAAAACAGTGCAAGTTCAAAATACAAACCAGAGATTGCTCAATGCTAGATTCCCATCTCAACTGCAGACTGTGCAACCAAGGACTGATATTTACATCACTCCAGTATTCATTTTAGTAAACCATGACTGCATATCAAGTAGTGTATACGCAAGGAAAAAAGGCTCGGCCGATAGAGACCTATTTCAAATACCAGTATGGCTAACACGCACCATAGAATATGTTCATTGCCAGCTGCATTCACACTACCATATACATTGTCAAATGAAGTTCAATCCTTAATGGGGATCATGTATACCCTGTGCCAGTAAGACTCTTTATGCACTTTCTGTGAGCTAGTGGTAAAAATCTCGACATGTGATAGTCATACAAAATTAAAAGTATGTTTATAGCCTAGCTGTTCGTAAATTTGTTTTTATGTTTTGCCTTAATATGGCACCAGTACTGAAGTACGGACTGTGACCACCAGGCATTGCCAAGTTTGAGTGTGATCCTATCCGGAGTTTATAAGTTTATAAGATATACCAGTCACATTTTGCTTTTCTGGTCCATCTCAAATTGGAGCCTCATGCCCAACTCCCAGGGGCTAATGGGAACTTGTGTACAGAGTTTCGTCATAATCCCTTCAGCAATTTTGAGAAAAAGGTTCACGAAAATCGTTAACTGACAGATTGAATTATACTGACTAATCTGACTAGATGGCAGATACCAGAAATGTGTGACCACAGACAGTGTTTTGTGATGATAGTGGGTGAAAACACACAAAACTGTTGACTTTTACACACAGAATTTTGAGGGACATACTAGGTTGATTGGTCATTAATCACAAGCCCTCCACCTCCATCTAGTCACAGGTTCGAGGGGGAGTCACCAGGACTGGCCGTAGGTTGGTGGTTTTTAAACTCCGGCTTTCCTCCACCACCAAAACCTGGCCTGTCCTTAAATGACCATAGCTGTTAATAGGATGTAAAAACAAACAACATCTATTAATAAAACAACATATATACTTTAGTTATTAAGCCTGCAGGACTACCTACCAGCTCCCTGAGAGCGATCTGTCGCTCACACAGCTGGGCGTACATGCGCTTCCCCATACTCGTACTCTGGAGGGTCGTTACCATCTGCATCTTCATGTCATTACTCTCGACCACATCAAACTCCAACATCGCACACAGCACCTGGAGAAAAACACACAATCTTCAACATCTGGCAAAAAAGGAGGCACGGTAGTCTAGTGGTGGGACGTGGGGCTCGTGTAAAGAGGTTGCAGGTTCGAGTCACGGCACAACACTGTGTTGTATCTTTGAGCAAGATACTTTACTCTGCTTGTTTGAGTCTACTCAGCTGTAAATGAGTATGTGGTTGGGCAGTGCTAGAATTGTTAAATGCTAGCTGTGAGCGCCGAAATCGCAGCACCGGCTGTATGCTCCGGATCCCCAGAGAGTTGAGAAAGGTATTGGCTGGTCGCAAATTAAGGCCCTATAACCAAGGATGATAATTTGTGAACCGCTTTGAAATGACCTACGAACTAGGCTGTGATGTGGCGGTATATATGAACCTCAAATTATTATTATTATTATCAAAACATCAACCAAAGACTAAACATAAATACACCACGAGATTCTGCTCCTTCAGAGAGAATATCTATATCCCATATACCTACATAATAATGGACTCTTTTTCTTCCACCTCTTAACTCATTCACCCCTAAAGTTTCATTATAAACTATTCCAACCTTTGAATTGGAAGAGTTCAAATGTGTCTTCAGGGGTGAACGAGTTAACCGAAATTTTGGTAAAACAGAACATAGACAATGGAAATATAATGCACTAAATATAGCAACATGTCTTGTTAATGGATACACAAGCTGAGGCCATAGTAGGATCGCGATGATCAAACAGTATTTAGTTGGCTTTAATGAATGCAGAAATATACAAGGTAGTGGTATATAAATAACAAGAGGCCCAAAGGGCCTGTATCGCTCACCTGAATATCTAAGCAATCATAGCAAAATATTCTCCAAATGAGATCCAAGGAAATATGCCAGACCCCAAGGTCAATCCTTATAGCATATCTGTATTAGATTTTTCATGCCCAGCAATTTTATGTATTGTTATGGGGTGGGGATCTCAACAGTTTCCAAGCTGTGACTCAGAAACTAAGGTCCCAAGGGTAGGGCAGACCCTGGGGTCAATTCTAATATCATGACTGCATTCGTCTCTTTATGCCCAACAATTGTATATATAGTTTTGGGGTTGGGATATTAACCATTTCAAAGTTATGACCCAGGAGTTAAATCTCCAAGGATGGGGCAGTCCCCAAGGCCATCCTGGAAGAATATGTGCATTCTCTCTTTATACTCAGCAATTGTATATATGGTTATAGGGTGGGGATCTCTCAACTGTTTCCAAGCTGTGACTAAGAAACAAGGTCCCTAGGGGTTCGGTCAAACCCCAGGGTCTATTCTAATATAATGACTGCATTCGTCTCTTTATGCCCAGCATTTGTATATATAGTTTTGGGGTGGGGATCTCAACCGTTTTAAAGTTATGGCCTAGGGACTATGTCTCCAAGGGTGGGGCCAGAACCTAGGGCCATCCTGGAAGCAAATGTGCATTCTTCTCTTTATACTCAGCAATTGTATATATGGTTATAGGGTGGGGATCTCAACCATTTCCAAGTAATAAACTTTTTTTGAGAGTTTTCAGAGTTTGACGTTTGAACAATTTTGTCATCGCCACTACTGGTGGACTCAACATTTTATCCAGGAGCTCGTGATGAGAAAATAGTTTTCACAACAAACCCTGAAAACACACTGTGATAATCTATAAGTACAAACCTCCATAGCGGCCTCATTCTCCCGAAGGGCTAGCAGCATGATTGGTCCCACCATCTTGTTAAGGCTGTTCAAAAACTTTTTTCTCTTACAGCAGCAATGTATCAGGGTCTTCAACTGCAACATCAAAGTGATAATATTATTAGTATCATCAGTCTAATCCAGTCTATATAAACAATCACCATGATCCCCCAGAGCTCGCCCTCATCGTCACATGCTATAGTGCCCGGTATAAACGCACACCATGATCCCCAACAGCTAGCCTCAACGTCACATGCTATAGTGCCCAGAATATACCCCCGCCATGATCCCCCAGAGCTCGCCCTCATCAGTCTAAACCAGTCTATATAAACAATCACCAGGATCCCCCAGAGCTCGCCCTCATCAGGCTAAACCAGTCTATATAAACAATCACCATGAGCCCCCAGAGCTCGCCCTCATCAGTCTAAACCAGTCTATATAAACAATCACCAGGATCCCCCAGAGCTCGCCCTCATCAGGCTTAACCAGACTATTATAAATACTCACCATGATTCCCCAGAGCTCGCCTTTATCGTCACTTGCTATACTGCCCGGTATATACACTCACCATGATTCCCCACAGCTCCCCCTCATCGTCACATGCTATAGTGCCCGGTATAAACACACACCATGATCCCCAACAGCTAGCCTCAACGTCACATGCTATAGTGCCCAGAATATACACTCACCATGATCCCCCACAGCGCTATAGTGCCCGGTATAAACACACACCATGATCCCCCACAGCTCGCCCTAATCGTCACATGATATAGTGCCCGGTATAAACACTCACCATGATCCCCTACAGCTCGCCCTCATCGTCACATGCTATAGTGCCCGGTATATACACTCACCATGATCCCCCACAGCTCGCCCTCATCGTCACATGCTATAGTGCCCGGTATAAACACTCACCATGATCCCCCACAGCTCGCCCTCATCGTCACATGCTATAGTGCCCGGTATATACACTCACCATGATCCCCCACAGCTCGCCCTCATCGTCACATGCTATAGTGCCCGGTATATACACTCACCATGATCCCCCACAGCTCGCCCTCATCGTCACATGCTATAGTGCCCGGTATATACACTCACCATGATCCCCCACAGCTCGCCCTCATCGTCACATGCTATAGTGCCCGGTATATACACTCACCATGATCCCCCACAGCTCGCCCTCATCGTCACATGCTATAGTGCCCGGTATATACACTCACCATGATCCCCCACAGCTCGCCCTCATCGTCACATGCTATAGTGCCCGGTATATACACTCACCATGATCCCCCACAGCTCGCCCTCATCGTCACATGCTATAGTGCCCGGTATATACACTCACCATGATCCCCCACAGCTCGCCCTCATCGTCACATGCTATAGTGCCCGGTATATACACTCACCATGATCCCCCACAGCTCGCCCTCATCGTCACATGCTATAGTGCCCGGTATATACACTCACCATGATCCCCCACAGCTCGCCCTCATCGTCACATGCTATAGTGCCCGGTATATACACTCACCATGATCCCCCACAGCTCGCCCTCATCGTCACATGCTATAGTGCCCGGTATATACACTCACCATGATCCCCCACAGCTCGCCCTCATCGTCACATGCTATAGTGCCCGGTATATACACTCACCATGATCCCCCACAGCTCGCCCTCATCGTCACATGCTATAGTGCCCGGTATATACACTCACCATGATCCCCCACAGCTCGCCCTCATCGTCACATGCTATAGTGCCCGGTATATACACTCACCATGATCCCCCACAGCTCGCCCTCATCGTCACATGCTATAGTGCCCGGTATATACACTCACCATGATCCCCCACAGCTCGCCCTCATCGTCACATGCTATAGTGCCCGGTATATACACTCACCATGATCCCCCACAGCTCGCCCTCATCGTCACATGCTATAGTGCCCGGTATATACACTCACCATGATCCCCCACAGCTCGCCCTCATCGTCACATGCTATAGTGCCCGGTATATACACTCACCATGATCCCCCACAGCTCGCCCTCATCGTCACATGCTATAGTGCCCGGTATATACACTCACCATGATCCCCCACAGCTCGCCCTCATCGTCACATGCTATAGTGCCCGGTATATACACTCACCATGATCCCCCACAGCTCGCCCTCATCGTCACATGCTATAGTGCCCGGTATATACACTCACCATGATCCCCCACAGCTCGCCCTCATCGTCACATGCTATAGTGCCCGGTATATACACTCACCATGATCCCCCACAGCTCGCCCTCATCGTCACATGCTATAGTGCCCGGTATATACACTCACCATGATCCCCCACAGCTCGCCCTCATCGTCACATGCTATAGTGCCCGGTATATACACTCACCATGATCCCCCACAGCTCGCCCTCATCGTCACATGCTATAGTGCCCGGTATATACACTCACCATGATCCCCCACAGCTCGCCCTCATCGTCACATGCTATAGTGCCCGGTATATACACTCACCATGATCCCCCACAGCTCGCCCTCATCGTCACATGCTATAGTGCCCGGTATATACACTCACCATGATCCCCCACAGCTCGCCCTCATCGTCACATGCTATAGTGCCCGGTATATACACTCACCATGATCCCCCACAGCTCGCCCTCATCGTCACATGCTATAGTGCCCGGTATATACACTCACCATGATCCCCCACAGCTCGCCCTCATCGTCACATGCTATAGTGCCCGGTATATACACTCACCATGATCCCCCACAGCTCGCCCTCATCGTCACATGCTATAGTGCCCGGTATATACACTCACCATGATCCCCCACAGCTCGCCCTCATCGTCACATGCTATAGTGCCCGGTATATACACTCACCATGATCCCCCACAGCTCGCCCTCATCGTCACATGCTATAGTGCCCGGTATATACACTCACCATGATCCCCCACAGCTCGCCCTCATCGTCACATGCTATAGTGCCCGGTATATACACTCACCATGATCCCCCACAGCTCGCCCTCATCGTCACATGCTATAGTGCCCGGTATATACACTCACCATGATCCCCCACAGCTCGCCCTCATCGTCACATGCTATAGTGCCCGGTATATACACTCACCATGATCCCCCACAGCTCGCCCTCATCGTCACATGCTATAGTGCCCGGTATATACACTCACCATGATCCCCCACAGCTCGCCCTCATCGTCACATGCTATAGTGCCCGGTATATACACTCACCATGATCCCCCACAGCTCGCCCTCATCGTCACATGCTATAGTGCCCGGTATATACACTCACCATGATCCCCCACAGCTCGCCCTCATCGTCACATGCTATAGTGCCCGGTATATACACTCACCATGATCCCCCACAGCTCGCCCTCATCGTCACATGCTATAGTGCCCGGTATATACACTCACCATGATCCCCCACAGCTCGTCCTCATCGTCACATGCTATAGTGCCCGGTATAAACACTCACCATGATCCCCCACAGCTCGCCCTCATCGTCACATGCTAAAGTGCCCGGTATATACATATGGAACCATCCCTCTTTGCCGTCACGGATCCCGAGTATGGTCTGGTGGACGTCACAGTGTTCGTCACTCGCTATATTCCTCAGGACAGCCTTCATCTTCCTACATAATAAATATTACAAAGGAATGACTCATCCGCAGCAGTAATCCACTCGAATTTCTGAGTTATACCAAAGTAAAGATTATAATACAAAGGAGACAAGTCTCTTTCTGTCAAATACTTTGGAGTTATACCAGTCAAAAACATGTGATTTTACTGTGAAGTATTGCAGAGAGATCAACCTGTTCCAGTGGCAGATAAAGGAAGCCATCTGGATAAGCCACAGTGGGCCAGTTCTGAATTGAGATGAGGGGGCTCATAGACTCTCGCACATCTATGACCAAGTATCAAACAAAGCATAGCCGAAAACGAACAGTTGATCTGATTCGTCATTTTCATAATAATTAAGTGTACATATAGCATATCCGAATTGACTGAATATATGATGCCAACTTATACATATTTTACACCTTGGTGATTATATACGCTTCCCTGGTCATTGTCTGATGAATGTGACGGGGAACGTATCGTACTAGTCAACAAAATGTCACACGTAAACATTCCCTGGTTGTGTTACACAACTTTTCTACTTTAATGTGTGAGTCTGTCTGAATATGTTGACTAAATATTTATTTCAATAAGAACACCAAATCTTTAATTTGGTAAGGTGATTACATATTTCATAAGTTCACATTACAAAATATAAAATACATAAAAACGACTTAATGTTTAATTGATCTAGTTGGCTTAATATTTAAACCATATATAGACTCAATATTAAAATCACTAAGTTCTGTAAAGCTTTTTATCTACAATTTATTTCAGAAGTTATAAAAAAAAAATCAAAAAATACTTACGAAGTGAAAAACTCATGGGCAAGGGCACTGGAAATAGAAAATAGAAGTTGATCTTTATAAAAAGGTGAAAATTGTCTGGAGTAGTCTTAAGATTACAATCAATGGATGACAATAAACTTCATCAATAAATATATATAATCTGATGTTGTGTACATTCAGACTTGTATATGGATGTGTTTTACGTGGGCCCACATACTGTACCCATTTCTAGATAAACCTTGCAAAACATATTCAATTTTATATATGCACACTTTACTAATTATTTAATTTGAAATTAACCAGTAATCCTTTAAACTTTGAAATTGATAAATTAAGGGCTTCTGTTTCAACTGTATTTTAGATCCCTATGGATTTCTGGCTCTTCAGCCTCTAGCATCACCAGTGAGTCCCAGAAGGACGACACAGCTATATATATGCAGGGTAATTCAGGCATAACATATCTACTATAGAATATTTAAGTTGCTATAGTCTGTCAGTGTCTACACTCATCTAAGCAATTTTGGAAAATTAAAATAATTGCAGTATTATCCAAAATGTTCAGACAATAGCCATAAAAGACATTGTTTCCATTATGGAGTTGCTAATTAATGGTGAAGGGATGGAATACTCAGACAAGAATAAAATGTATAGGGGGAACTTATTATGTTGAATACTGTAAAAATGAATACCAATCAGAAACGATTTTCAGGGGAGACTATACTCACTCATTAGGAAATGGAATTGGTTGAAGTAGACTTCCTAGCACCAGTCTCCAATCTGAGTACGACGACCTACAAATACCAAACAAATATAATACCAGCTGTATACTAACATGCATCATCATTATATCAGTCTCCAATCGGAGTACGAGGACCTACAAGTACCAAATAAACATACAACTGACTATATACTAACATGTATCATCATTATATCAGTCTCCAATCCNAAGAAGTTGTTTAAAGTAAAATGTTGACTATGGACGGACGGACGACAGACGGACGACGGACGACGTACCATGCCATAAGCTCACTTGGCCCTTAGCGCCAGGTGAGCTAATGATACCGTCTGTATACTAACATTCATCATCATATCAGTAGTGGTGAAGGTCGTGAAAATCTTCAGATATTTTCAACAAGTCTTTCAATTGCACCATTCAATAGAGATGTCTCATCTCATCCCCGAAACAGTGATATGATGATCACACAATTGTTAAAAGTCAAAGAGTAAACAGGATTTAGTGGACACCTCATTTTCCTGATGTGCAAGCTCATCTCAGACACATCCATAACGTCTCATGGCTTCTTAAACTCGGGATTGCTGCCAAAATACCTGATGGAGCCACAGAAATTAAAGAACAAGAGACCATCAAAATGTTCTTAGTTTCAACAGAAAATTGATTATTCATAGCAGACTACCAAAACTTGGTGTTTCCATGGGTTTCACAGACTACCAAAACTTGGTGTTTCCATGGGTTTCACAGACTACCAAAACTTGGTGTTTCCATGGGTTTCACAGACTACCAAAACTGAAAATGTATTATTAGCAGCAGAATACCAGAACTCAATGTTTCAGTGGTTTACTCAAATATTACAAAAACGAACCATAAAACTTGGTGTTTCCGTGGCTTCCACATTTACTGATTGCATGGTGTCCACAGCAATTACAGATTCCATAGTAACCACTACACACAGCCTTCATACTTAGTGTTTCCCCCGAATACAAAACAAAACCACTACACACAGCCTTCATACTTAGTGTTTCCCCCGAATACAAAACAAAACCACTACACACAGCCTTCATACTTAGTGTTTCCCCCGAATACAAAACAAAACCACTACACACAGCCTTCATACTTAGTGTTTCCCCCGAATACAAAACAAAACCACTACACACAGCCTTCATACTTAGTGTTTCCCCCGAATACAAAACAAAACCACTACACACAGCCTTCATACTTAGTGTTTCCCCCGAATACAAAACAAAACCACTACACACAGCCTTCATACTTAGTGTTTCCCCCGAATACAAAACAAAACCACTACACACAGCCTTCATACTTAGTGTTTCCCCCGAATACAAAACAAAACCACTACACACAGCCTTCATACTTAGTGTTTCCCCCGAATACAAAACAAAACCACTACACACAGCCTTCATACTTAGTGTTTCCCCCGAATACAAAACAAAACCACTACACACAGCCTTCATACTTAGTGTTTCCCCCGAATACAAAACAAAACCACTACACACAGCCTTCATACTTAGTGTTTCCCCCGAATACAAAACAAAACCACTACACACAGCCTTCATACTTAGTGTTTCCCCAAAATACAAAACAAAACCACTACACACAGCCTTCATACTTAGTGTTTCCCCAAAATACAAAACAAAACCACTACACACAGCATTTCCCAGAATATAAAACACAGAAAAACTCCTACTTACAGCGTTTCCCCAAAATACCAAAAAAAAACCTCCTACTTACAGCGTTTCCCCAAACTACCAAAAAAAAATTCCTACTTACAGTGTTTCTCCAAAGACGAAACAAAGGAAAACTGGTACTTACAGTGTTTCCATGATTCCAATGTGACAGAGAAGTTTGATTTCCCACTCCTGTTTGTCCAGGACGATGGAGCTGTTGCTCTGCATAGCACTGACGAGATAAAAACGAAAGTTTAAAAGAATTCCACACATACTCAGGACTACACTGTCAACCAAATACATCTGTTACTGAAACAGTATTGTCTGTCTGCAATTCCTTCTATATTAAGACACAGTTAAAGGAACCCTAGGGGTCTAGGAAATGATAGACTGGCTACCAGCCCAAAAAAAATTATGAACAATTTCTGAACTACATTTTACTACTAGCTTATCTCCCTCTAGTCTAGAATCCTAGGCCGTTTACGTTTAGATGGTTTAACCTGTTGGACCACACTTGCTCGTTTATTAAATAAGGTTCGACCTAGTAATCTGATGCTGCTTTCAGGCGAGCCTTGATTAAGCCTTGCATGCATGGCCTGCATAAACGTTTGCAGGTCCACCAGGATTTATACCCAAAATTGTTACATTTAAAAACACACAAACTGGTTGTTCCGCATAACCGAACAGGCCCCTAGTAATCAAAATCATTAGATTTAATTTCTTTCTAAATAATTCAATATTCTAAAGACGGAGCCAATCTAAGGAAATGTTTAAGAGAAGCATTATTTATATGAATCGCATTACTTTGAAACCTTCTTTCCATTAAAACAGTACTGTGCGAAGCTTAGAATGTGAAACTATTTTTCTGTTGCAATAAATATAATAGAGTTATGTCCCTTTACATACTGTTTGTATTTCTGTTTATAACCACCTAGAAACACAACATGTCACCAGGATTTCTGAAAAGGAGTATTTGTACTGTACTTTTTCCTGTCCTCGTAACAGGTATAGACTGCGGCCAGACACACGGCGACCATATTGGGCAGGACTCGCGGATGTGGACACGCACTTGATGGACTGTGCATGCTGTCAACAAAATAAACACTCAGGATAAATCTCCACCCTAGACACCTCCAATAATGTCAAGAAACATTGGCATCTTTTCTTAAAATCAATCAATGCACACCCTACGTACTGCAAACCAGAAAAATGAGGAAAATGGTGAAAATACATGAATTTGAAAGAAAATTTTCAGGGGGGGGGTCCTAAAGCCCAAAAAGCCCCTCTGGATCAGCCACTGCCCAGTCAAATGTTTGTCCTTCACTTGCATAGGATGTCGTGTACTTATTTTCACTGTCGTCATAAAATCGCTCTCATAATAATTAGGCAGAGCGAAAAAGGCCATGAAGTAGCCGGGCAAAACAGTGTTATGCCGTGGGACAGAAAAGAAAACGAAATTGTTCTTCCAGCCTGTTTGTAACACTTGGGGTCTGTACTCTGTCATCCTGTTTGTAACACTTGGGGTCTGTACTCTACCACCCTGTACGTAACACTTGGGGTCTGTACTCT